AGCCCAAGAGCCGCTGCAGAGCAGCCCTGGCCTCTACCAGTACAGCTGAGCTGTGGACCTGGACTTTCTATACAAAGCTTCTTTGTTCGGCACTGAATAGCATTAGGCATGGACTAGCTGAGGGGCCACCATGAAGCCTCAAATGAGGAGGGCAAACACTAGCTGGAGAACACAGTGTGAAAGTCACAGGCATATCCTTGCATTTGTGTGCAAAATACATCTTTTCACATATTATTTTGTGGTAGTTTGGGCTTTGATGTGTTTCTTGCATATACTTTCTTATTGGTGTACTAAGATCTACTTTGTCTTCACAGTGTGTTTTCTTCTCCTGCCTGTTGTGGGACAAGGGTGATAATCATGACAAATACACAGGTGTTTGAGACACTAATTTGCATGGACAAGCATTCAAATGTATCATTATTATAACTAGGTGATTTTCCTTGCCTTAACTCTTCTAAATATAAAGTCACCTGGTGCCCAGTTAAAAGCAACATATTACATGATAAAATACTCAAACTCCAATGACTGAGAATTGGACAGCCATATTCTTTAATCAGGAAAAATTGTTTGCTTTAATTCACATGTTTCTCGTCACCAAAGCTTCACTCTGGGTTTAGCAATGTCTGCTCTCTTTTCAGCATGGCCACCAGAAGCACCATACAAAAGTCTTACAATGAATGTCTTAATCTCTCTGTGTGCTTTTAGAGCATTATTTTGAATTCCATCATGCTGCCTTTTTTTCTCCCCTCTTCTGATGTTTTATTACAGCAGCAGAATTCCCAGGGAGCTTTGGGGGCAAGGTTCACATAATATAGCCCCACAGTTTTGCTAGGTGGGAGCCATCCCCAGTCCTGGTCATCTTTTGGTGATCTTTCTATTTCAAAAGATTCACTGGGTATAGTCTTTACAGCATTAGCTGGAGATGGCTTATTTTTATTTTTATTTTTTTATTTACTAGACAGTGAGTATCTACAACCCTTTCATGATGCTTTCTTTCTCTGACCTCACTGTGACAAGGCATCTTGTTCTTTAACATTGAGGGAGGCAGAAAAATGCTTGAGTTTCTCAATGTGTGCCTTCTATACCAGTTTTAAAATGGCTTATTCTTCTGGTTTCCATGGTGACAATTAACACTGTTTCAAGGCATTGTTCCACTCTCCATTTGGGCAGAATTTTCGGTGTGATTTTTAACAAAAAGAAGGAGAGAGAGAGAGAGAGAGAGAGAGAGAGAGAGAGAGAGAGAGAGAGGAAAGGAAAAGGGGGAAGGGTTTAAGGAAGGGAGGAAAGTCTAGCATAAGTGTCAAAAAAGTTATCTCAATCAAGTTTGTATTTGTTACTAAATACATTTATTTTCAGAAATCCCTGTTTGTTTGTTTGTTTTACTGGTTTTTATAATTCAGTTTTAGTGTTTGTGCTTTTAAAATGTAAACTGTAAAGAATTTCAATTTTAATTCTTAGTTAAAACAATGAACTACTATTAGCTCTGTATTTTCTTTAACCTTTCTTTATATACAAAGAAATAGCTTTTAGGACACTAGTAGCTTGTGTCTTTAATTTAGAACATTCACAAATCTATTAAGAGGATTCATTAGACCAAATTGAATTGGCCAAGCAAATACACTTAATAATGTAAATATGCTCTTTGAATAGAGTATATTTTATTTTTGACTAGACAGTCCGCAGCAGGTGCAGTGGGAAGTTAGCTGTTGGATGCTTGTTTACCTTAGCACTCGAGGAAAGCCAGCTGACTTTAACTTTGCTAATCTCATTTTTGGCTATTGAAGACTAGTCTATAGCATAACCTTCCAGACTACAGAACACAATGGGGCAGCTTCTGCTCATTTACTGCTGTGGGTAAGATGAAGATTAAATTATCTTCTCAGCATAGGATTGAGTATCCCACTTGATAGGGGGACCAGGTCTAGGCAGATTTTGGTGGTTGATTCTCCCCACCTAATCCTTCTGAAAAGATGCTAGTGAGAGAAGAGCCTATGTGTAGAAGAGGCAACAAAAAATGGAACCCTCCTGGTAGCATTACATACCCAGCCTTGAGGCCCTAAATCATACTAGATGCAACCTTCACAGTATCAAAAAAAATCAAACACTTTCACCTTAAATTACGTGACATTCTAGTACTCTCCATTCACACATCAATAGATTTAACAGTTGCCTAGGTTCTCCCAGCTTCTGTACTTTGAAGGCATTGCCTATCAATCTTTCATCAGGCTGTTTACACAGTAGGCATATACAGTGACAGAGAGTATACATACTAAGGACTTTTAGTCTAAGAACTATCTTAGTAGCTATTACCATAACTACTCATACCACATTTCACAGGGTAACAACTTTTACTCTGTCTGAAATAAAATTAATTGCTTGTGTGTTTCATCATTGCAAGGCTATCATTTTCATGAGATGATGCAAACTGTCTCTCCTCTTTTACTAACGTGATGGAGGAGATATTTAAAGTTGGGAAAGAAAGATGATGAGTTTGCCACAAGGAGAGCCAATAACCAGTAGAAGCCACTCCCAGAAGGCACAACTGGAGGACTCTCTCTGTTGATTAATACACACAAGGAAAAGATTTGAATAATAGTCCTCTGCTTGACTGAAATGCCACTCCCCCCAACATCATGTCAGCCTTACCTAATTAGTTATGGAAATCTTACATGGGCATCTGATTCTATAAAGCAGATTGCCTCTTCTCCAGTCATCACTCTGACAAGTAATACACTATCTAGGTTTCTAGAATACTTTTTGAGTATTGGCTTGAGAAAACTTAAGTGGACAGTGTGTTTTCTGTGCTGGAGAAACATGGTCCTGGTGATTGCAATTAGAAATGTAACCAGAACTTCCCATGTTTCACAGTCTAAACTCTAAAAGCACTCTAAAGCAACCCTTGATTTTTTCTTCAGTATGCATATTCATGTAATTTTGGATACACCGACACCCTGATCAACATTCATTAGTAATATAAAATGCTTTAAACCACCTAATTTAAAACATTTTGTTCTGCGATCCACAAATGCCTAACATTTGGAAAAGTTTACATAAAACCTGTTTAGTGGAAATGGAAGATTAAATATAAAGCCAAAAGGGTGCAAACATACACAGAAATGCTGAGACCTGCTAACTGAGGCAAAGGTCTCACACTATCTTGTCTTTGAAGCTAATTCCAGTTCTAAGCGAGTTCAGAGTTTTGTGGAAGGTGTTTTTCAGGGACTAAAATCATCTAAGTGTTTGAGGATATTACGAACCTGAAGATTAGCAATACTTCGCCCACTCAAAAACTTTTCTTATGAGATCTGTTAATATGGTTACCTTAGGGCAACCATACTCATATAGGGCAAAGGAACAGTGCTACCACAAAGCTCATGACTCGAGTTTGTGGTTTCAAGGAAAGATGTTTTAGAAATATGCATGTTTAGCATTTTACCCGTAGCCTAAATTTGACACTCAATGATATGTTGATGCACACTTCCCCCATACACATGAGAGTCATTTACAGTTGTCCATATGACTTTCTGCCTGAACTTTTCCAAATACAGGGATTTGAGGAATGCCACATAAAACTGTTTTACAAAGTAGCTATTACATTGTCTCTAGGAAACATCTTTTAAGAGACTCATTTGGCAGTTTGATAGAATATAGTGCCTTTGTTGGGGGGGGGCACCACAGTGCAAGCCCTGATTCTTGGTGTCTTTGCACCCAGAGTACCACTATCATGTACGTTCCTTATTCTCTTATGTTTTTAAAAAAACATTCCTTTTTTTAAAGAATAATTTTCTGCTTTTGAAATAGTAAAATTTAGATGCATTTTCAAAACAGGTTCTCTAAGACGATTGTTTGGATCATTTTTATAGTGACTAAAGAAATATAATATGTCAACAAATTAAAATTTATACTGTACCCTATATCTTGCCCATAGTTTGTTCTCACCAAGCACCGCCTTTGCATGAAGAGAAAACCTGTGCACTTTTTGTATTTTTTTTAAAAACTAACATTTGAGAGAATTTAATGGAGATGCTTTTGTATGAGCTGTGGCTTTTTCTTGTTGTGGGGCATTGGCTAGCACATTCTGGAAATGTCCCTGGGTCCTCTTTGCTCAACATAGTGCCTCTCTGGGTCTGGAAGGTTCAGTACTTGGCTGAGAAGTTCAGGGCAGTTTATGGTAGTCAATAAGCAATCCTGATCTGTAACTCTCCCAAGAACCTGGAGTGCCTTCCTCCCCTTTATATGTGCCTTTTCTTTTTAGCTCTCACAGAGATTTTAAGTAAAAGAAAAATAGAAACAAAATATTGAGACTTTAATTGATAGGGAACTATTAATTTCACATAATCTTTATGGATAATGTTTCCCTTTCAAAGATAGTTTTATTAGGTATTTTTTGGAAATAAAGTCCAAATATATGAGAAATATATAAGCACTGTTTTCTTAACTTGTGAAACCAACAGTCACGTGTATGGGTTATTTTTGTAACATAGACATTTTCCTCTATTAATTGCCTTCATTTGGGAAGTGCTTCTCCCTAAAGAAGAAAGGCTCATCTCCTAGAAAAGTGCTTGAATGTGTGTTTCATGGAAGAAAAAGAAAAAGACAAAAACTGTGAACTCCTCTAAGGATGAGCTGCTGAGAGGCTGGATGGGAAGGGTGGCTCCTCAGCCACACAGTGATCAAATTAATGGAAACAATACATCCTTCCAGGCCAGGCATTTTCTCAGTTATTATACCTTAAATTAAAAACATACAACTCGTATATAAGCCAGTTTAAAAAGGCAAAACTCCCTGAAGCCTACTCAGTACGACAGGAAGTATCTGTGTGGTTGCCTGTGGAATCAAGGTGTTTCCAGCTGCGTTACTGGGCCACTCAAGGCTTAGCCTCTCAGTAAATATCACAAAAGCAAAACCTTTTATTTTCGTAAACAGTATAAATTCTGCTTAAACGTTTTTCTAAGAACATCTCTGTCCCCTAATGATTTGTCTTTCTCTTGTCATTTCAGCGTTACAGTGTGGAAATGTCCATCAGGCATCTGAAAAAGACAGAACTACTTAGCAAGGTTGAAGCTTTGAAGAAAGGTGGCGTCTCACTACCAAATGATCTCCTGGAAAAAGTCGATTCAATTAATGAAAAATGGGAACTGCTTGGGGTATTTGCATTTTTATTACTGTTTGTAGGTTCTGTGTACATTTTTTTGTGTGGTGAAGTCCTCTATCTGTCTGATTTCTAATTTGAGGCACAAATATCTCTCTTTCAATTCACTCCTAACATTTCAAACAAGCTACTAGTGTTATTATGGAGAAAACATTGCTTTTCCTCTTCTGTTTCTTTTTTTAAATTTATTCTTAGCTGTCTCCTCTCAGATTTTAATAATTTTGGTTCTTTAATACATAAAAGAGTAAGTAAAATATGCCATGTATTATGGGTCTGCACCAAGTCAACTCTAATACAGTATATCTGATATACACTGACTGTCATGCTTGGATGAATGTTAATAGAATTTGTTCTGAAGGTACATGTTAGTCACTGTTTAACTAGTCAGTGTATCCTTAAGATGGAAAATGGAGTTACCACTGTAGCTTTCAGGTCATACCAAAGCCATGAAATCAAATATGCAAATTTGACCCAAACTGAATTGAAGAATTAAATCAATCTCCTTTTTGTGCATCAATTTCCAGGGCAGTTTCAACAAAGCAGAAAAATAAAAAAAGTTTTGTGTAGTTCATTTCTTGCAATGATAGGGGCTGGTCCTTAGCCAAGGAAATGCAAGAATCTGGCAAAAGGCAATGTAGTCCTCTGTTGCCAGAGGTCCAGTATAGCCGAATGCAGGAGGCAGCACTGCCCTATTGCTGGAGGACAGCAGAGAGAGAAGTTAGCCTGCCGTTGTTTGTCAGCTTCTCTCCTAAATTGCCTTCGCTTCAAATCAAGGGTAAGCTAAATTTGCCAAGTACCTAGATGATTAATTATGATAGCTGCTATGGGTGGTGGCAGTTGCAGAGCATAATTTTTCAAGCCCTCTATTTTTCTGCCTCTTTAAATTTTTTTAAAGAAATAATACTGTAGAAATATTTTGCATTAGGGCTCTCCATGTACAGCGATGACTTGGAGTCAGGCCAATGTTCCGTTTATGCCATGCTTCATCTAAGTGATAAAAACCTGCACAGTTAAGCTCTTGTTTCTCATCTAAATTCTCTACACGCTATAGTTGCTCAGAGTAGCTTAAAATGTTAAAAAGTCTCACTCTTACTCGTGGCCTTGCCTTTTAGGGGTAATTGGTGTAACTTGCTTTACAACATGGTGTTTTTAATCGGGACCTACTAACTTCTACAGCACTCATTGGCCTCAGGAGAAATGATTACTGCATGATATTTTCAGAGCTTGTTTACCAAATAGAGAAGAAGAGCAACTTTGTTGGCTTCAGAGCTAAAGTGATAGCCTGTTGACACTGTGCTTAAATGCATTTTTCCTAATTTGATAAATAATAGTACTCCCTTAGAAAACTGTTTAAAGTGTGTCATGAATATTGATTCCTTACCAAAATTTTGAATTGTTATTACATTGAAGATAACAGTATTTAATTAGTCGCTATGAGTTGGGTGCCATTCAGACACTTGCCATGTTGACAACATATCACTCAAATACCGTACAGTTTCCAGTAATTTTGGGAGACCAAGCTGGAGAGAAGACTTTAATAAAGCTGGAGCCACACTGATACCAATAGGCACACTGCTTTAATTGGCATGATTACATTTTAATTGGCATGAAAAAAATTAAAGACAAGGACTTTAACTTCTAACAATAGTAAAATAGAGGGATATGGTTTTTAATATTTCTTTCATCTAAGGTGAACAGTGTGGAATGGAAATACATTAGAATGAAATGTCAGTGGTGCGTACAGTTTAATCTGTGAAATTTTGTCCCCTGTGCTGCATATTACTCCGTCTCAATTGCATATTAAACAACCCTATCAAGGCAGGCATTGGCATCTGCTGTGCTGACACAAATTGTGAATTAAATGAAATTGATGTCCTCTGTCGTATATTTATGAAGACGGACCATTCTCTGAAGTATTCTGTTTATAAAGAATTTATGATTGCAAACTGTTCCAGAACAAAAAAGTGGCAATAAATTCCTTTTTGTGACCCTAGCCTCCAAGGGCATTGATTTCACCTCCTGCTGCTACTTTTGTTACAGCATAAAAACAATGCTAAATCTGGATTCCACTGAGGGTCTTCAAATTATCAATATTTGCACCATGAAAATGCAAGGGTGTTGCCAAGACAGGCTATTTTTCTATCATGATCTCCTAAAGATACTATTTACAGAGCAATGTGGTGCAGATGAATGTTTGTTGATTTAATTTTATTTGTATTTTAAAGCGTATTTTTCTAGGTTTAATTTATCATTATAGATTAAATCCTATTGATTCTGTAAAAAGAGTGCTTCTACCAAAGAGAAAGGAAAGAAAACCAGGTCAAATAGCATCTCTGTGCCACAGTGCTTGGTCTACACAGGCTCATCTGACAGTGAATTGAGGATTATTTTATTATGTTTGTTAAATAATCTGTATTCAAAAGAAAAAGCAGGAAGAACTATGAGGCTGAAGAATTCCGAGTCAGGTGAAATCCACAGTTAAACTACGGAGTACCTCTGTCATATCATTTGGGGAATTATACTTTGCAAAACAACAAAAAAAGGAATTTAATTCTCTTTACTCTTGGTCTCTGTATATGATTAAATTCAGGCCTCTATCTCTTCTTGAGCACTATAGAGACAAATTTTTACTGTAAAATTTTTGCCAAGAGAATGCAAATGAATTTTTGTCCCTGATCATGGTAAACGTGGACAAAACACATTTTCTGTTAAAGCAAAGTCTAAGGAATGAAGTGTTGCATGTGCAGCCACTGGTGGTGGGAATAATGTGCACTAAATAAGCTCATCCATGGTGAATGTCTGTGCTAAGGTACTTGCCCTCCTGTGCATATCCTATGATGGATTTTTGGCATGTTAGCTAATTTATTTATTTATTTTTCTTTTTAATCTGATGCATTAGAAAACCCTAAGAGAGAAGATACAGGACACAATGGCAGGACACAGTGGGTCGGGCCCACGGGACCTGCTCTCTCCAGAAAGCGGAAGCCTGGTCAGGCAGCTGGAGGTCAGGATCAAAGAACTGAAAAGGTGGCTAAGAGATACAGAGCTTTTCATCTTCAATTCCTGCCTGAGACAAGAGAAGGAAGGAACGAGCCCTGAGAAACAACTCCAATACTTTAAGGTAATAAAAAAAACAATCAAAGTTGATAAAAGCTTTCTTTATGGGAGAGGAGAAATATTTATCAGGTACACAAAGTGTTGGGCTCATGCATCCACGCATGCTGCACCCTTAAATGCTTCCCTGAATTTGCAGACGCTGTCCACACTTCTTATGCTAACCTCTATGTGTGTCATAGAGGAACATCAAGCATATCAAATACACATTGAATATAGAGGAGGTCTGTGCTCACTGTGTGTTTATGCAATGTTTGTCAAGGGAGAGCTTTGATAAATTAAAAGCAGATCAGCAAACACAGAAGATTATTAAGGACACTAAAAGATCTAAGTGTTCCATAAATAGCTTAACAAAATGCACTTCCATAAATTAATGTAGTAAAAGCACACAATTGAATTGATATCTATAATGCTAACAAAAGAAAACATAATTTTACATCTGAAAAAGTTAACTATTCACAGAGAAAATAAATAAAAGAGACCTACATTATAGGTGTATTCCATTGTAAAATGCTGTTTAACCTTGGCAAAAGGATCCATTTTGTTTTCATGTTTATATCCATGGAGAAGCATTCTTATACTTTGTTTCTGTTCTTTATATAGTATCAATTGGATTGAGGCTTAAAGGGCCTTTTAAAATATTTATCTGTGTATGTGCATGTGCGCTTGCATGAGCCATCACGTGCCATAGCCTGCCTGTGGCGGTCAGAAGGTGACATCTGGGAGTTGGTTCCTTCCTTCTTTCTAACATGTGTTTAGAAGTTTAGGAACTAGACTTGGTCATCAGGCTTGTCATCAGGTAAAGTGCCTTTACCCATGGAACTACTTGCTGGCCCGTAGACGAGCCCCCGACTGTCTCAACATACCAGTAAAGCAGTGATTATTTGGTCTTGGGCTGGTCAGCTTGAGGCTTTGGGGTTGTGGAATAAATTAGTGAAAATATACCCTATAGCATAAAAGATTTTAAAAGGGAAGAAAAGAACAACTAAAAAGGGGAAAAAAACATTTCTGAAACAAATGTTTCTTCTCAAAGCCGTCCTGGACCAGGGTTCATTCACCTGACTCCATTTAGCAATCTTTCAGAAAATGTAGTCCCTTTCTGTCTGCCACACATTTTTGCTCATCTTGCTCACTGCTGTTCCACGAGAGGGCACCCTCAAAGACGGCTTCCGGTTAACTACCAGTGTCACACCCAGATGAATTGTTTTAGTTAAATACTTGACCTTCCGCCATCACCTTGAGAAGTTCAGGCGTCCAACTTTTCCCACGCACGCCCCAAGGCAGGGAGAAGGAATGGTCAGGTGTGTGCTTCTGTGCCATTTGAGCATAACGTGCCCCTTACAACAGGACAGCTACAGGGGCAGATGCTGTAGAACCATTTTAAACTCCCATTGTATCTTTATTGCAGCATTAGTGAACTGACTCGTGTCCCCAGCTTTGGAATTAGGTTACATTCCAGTACCATTGGTTGTTGGGCAGGTGGTCACATTTCTTGCATGATCCCCTTATCCCTTGATCTCTTTATAAAATGGCCTTCTAACAGTATTTATTTTGCAATTACATACAAGTTATTATTCATGTAGTGAGTACAGCTTAGAAATCTCTTAACACTGTAAGCCCCAAAGCAGAGGCATCAGCAAGTTTATTATCACAAATACTTATCAGATTACACACTTATTCCCAGGTCTTATGCATAAATATGTAGGTATTTGAACTAGTGTTTTTAAGAAAGCGTGTTATTGTTATAGATGGAAGCGAGGGCACACACTTTGCTGTTGCTTTCGAAGGTGAGGAGCCTTGATTTCAAGCTTTATGCCATATCAGTATGCCTATGTAACCAACTTTAGAGTCTGAGAGAACCCAGGAGAAAAAGTAGGAGGACAATGAGAAGGAGAGGAGGAGGAGAGAGAGGAAGGGAGGAGAGGAGGGAAGAAAGGAAGAGGAGGGGAAGCACTAGCAAGTGGACTTTGGGCTTCAGATCCCTTCTCTGAAGATGTACTGTGCACTCTAGACCATAAGGCATGGTTGCTACACCAAGTAACCTAGCTCAGTGTTTTCTTAGTACCCAGAGTAACAGAGAACTGTTGTTTCAGTACAGCAGGTACTGTCACATACTATTTTCCATTTTATTTCTCATCTTCAAAGATGTATCTTTGCAGTATTTTAAGTGTCATTTTCTATTAAGTTATCTGTGTTTATACTCCTGTTTCTCTCCCTATTACTTTTTTCCCTCTCCCTCTCTTTTTCTCCTAACTATTTTTAAATTCTACAATAAACCACAGAGAATCTCCTATCCTAAAGAAAGAGTAAAACCTTAACCAATAATGTAAGCCTAATGTAGCTTCTACCCTCATCTCCTCTCTTTCTGTCCTCCACTCAGGCAATCAGGCTCCCGAGCCCAGTAATCATTGCAGAATGTTTCCTATAGTTAAATTGAATTCCTTAATGTTAGTTGCTTTTCATTTTGTTACAAAGATATTCATGCTGTAAGCTACACTTTAAGACTTCCATCTTCATTCCCGATTATAATGCAAACCTCTTTCATGGCATTGGCTGTGGTAATAATGTGCTTCCTTTGAAAACTCTACTTTTCCATTTTGAATATGTAAATATATCTCACTTAATCCTAATGGCAGCTCTATGAACTAGCTATGAGGATCTTGATTTGGGTTATATGAATCAGAGGCACAGGGAAGTTAAGTTTTGTGTGTCCAAGGTCATCTTTAACGAGTAATGTAGCATTATATTGAAATCCAGGACTGTCTGGCTCTAATGATCTTTGGATGAATTACTATGTGAAATTGATATTAACTGATATTTCCTAAGTCTCCTTCCATATCAGGTGTCTTAAAGGGAAGGACAGGACAGAAATACATTTCATTGTTTTTCTGTTATAGACTCATTAGTTACTCTCTTCAGTTTTTAGCCAAAAGTCATAGCTTCAGCTGTTGTAGATGGGATGTGTCTATGTCAAGGTTAGGTTTTCTCTTTTATACTCTATCAATGTCCTTTGCTATGTGCCATCTTCTAAGCTGAACCTCTTCAAACTTTTGGAGATTATGGAACCCTTATATGTTTCCTTTATGACTTGAAAGCCAACTTTTTTCTCCTTAGGATGCTAGGATCCAACATAGCCCTACATGACAGACATCTGGCTGCCTTACTACTAAGCTATGTTCCTAACTCTAAAGTCAGCCATCAGGAGTTTGAGTAGACAAGTTACGGATCTGGAGTAGCACTCTTGTTGTTTGAAGAAAAATTATATATGTCTTTTTGAATAAATATATTTCATAGCCAAAATTTCAATATTAGTAAGCTATTTGCAAGTTTTTCTTAGCACTTCTTGTGTAATTAATCAAGTGTTCTATGCTTTACAAGATTTGTTGGAGGAACAGAACAAAATGTTTGTAATTTAGCATAAAAATGTAAGGTAGTGTATATGATATCTCAAAAATCATAATTTTAGTAAGTACAAATATAATAAAGCTTGCCAGAAGTATAAAGGAAATACACCATGCAACAACTCAGTTCAGGAAGGAACAAAGATTTTTTTTTTTTGCCTGTGAGGCAGCGTGCTCTACGTGTGAAGGAACGTGCTCTACGTGTAGAAGAACATGCTCTAGTGTAGAGGCAGCATACTCTGCCTCTCTGCTGGGGTCCCACATGTCTCCTACCATCACTGGTTGCACAGAAAAAGACAGCTTTATCTCCAGGACTTAGCTCTATGACTCATTATCCTCTGAAACCACAAAGCTTTACTAATGCCCCAGTGAACGATCCTGAATACAGAAAGGAGGTGGTACATATAAAAGAAAAGATCCACCCTTTGTACACAGAACTGCATTTCCTACTCAGCTTGATAAGAGATAGGAAAAGATAACAATTTTGTCTGGAAAAAAAGCAAGTCTAGGGTTATTTTTCTGTAAGGCAATAATGTGTGGAAGATGAGGGATTAGACACGGGAAAAATTCTCTACAATAGTCTATGCCCAGCAGAGAGGTGGCATGATGTGTGAACCTAAAGCTCTGGAATAGAAATGTAAAATTCTTAAGGACTGAACACAGCTTTACAACAAAACATGGGAGCATATGTCAAGGACTTAATGAGGCCAACTGGCAAAGGGCCTCTACTGCCCTGAGAGCGTAACTTCAGTGCCATTGGCTAGAAGGCTTCTAACTATGACCCTTGAGAGAGAAAGGAACATAATTACTTAATCATATGTTCCTTGTATCCCAAAACCAAATTCATTTTTCTGAAGACTCTAAATTAGGAACAAATTGTCTCTTACCAGTTAGGAAACCCACAGCATTGGCCTGGGCGCAGAACCAGCCCAGGAAGAGGAGCGAGAGCAGACCCGCTGCAATCCTGTCACCAGAAGGGGCGTGAAAGAAATAGACCTTAGCATCCGGTGCTGCGGATTTGCAGGACCGTTGACGTTTGACCAAGTATTTCATATTTGTTACTAATTACCTCTTATATGTGCATTTTTTTATTTTTATGAATGAAGAAGTCAAGTTGTGATTTGTGTGAGTGCACACAGAGACAGCCACAGAGGGCGCAAAGCAATGCTCTTTGGATGCAAATCCCGGTAGTTACCCACTGCTACTGGGGACGACCCACTGGGTCACTCACTAGTTTTTCAGAGAACCTTGGAAACTTTGTTTTCTTCCTGAAACACTTTTTTATAAAAGGTTAATTAATATATCACAACTGATGCTATGGTGCGAAAGCTGCCACAGCCCTTATATTAAATAATAAACATGGTTGTAGTTGATTAAATTAATTTTAAAACCATTTACAAAAACAAGTAGTAAACTAGATTTGACCAAAAGGCCATATTTATCTAATCATGTGTTAGACTTTAACAATCACCAATGTGGAAATGGCTGCATCTGTACTTCTTTGAGAAATAGAAACCAGGATGGAGAGATAGCCTCTTACACAAGAACCTAAGTTTAAATCCCCAGCATTTCCATGAAAAGTAGGGTGTGACTTTACACCTGAAAT